ATAAATCCAAATAACATCATTATTCAACTGTTCGTAGGTAAGTGAGTCTCCTTAGACACATAGAACCAAAAAGTCAGCATAGGCCAATTATAAATCCAATTATTCTTACTCAAAGCAGCATAGTCAATGTTTAGAAGACACAAGCTTGTTCTGCTGCTTCCTCCTTATTTTCAAAGGACAGACTCTAAAGACCCAAGGAAAGGATTTTAGCAGATCAGATGCAAATTAGAATGATATAGCTACTGTTTGTATGAACAATGCACAACAGTGAAGCAAGGACAGCAATTGAAACTGCTGAAATAATTCAACCTTAAAAAAGCTATCATTAAATGTAGTCATGGAAGTTTACATGGAGAGAAATGAATGGATTCCATTGATATTAAAGAGATAGGTTTGGGTGGACTTGCCAAGTGTATGCAATGGGTACACTGAGGAAGAAAGTGGCTTAAAGGCTAATTCTGTATTTTACGTTTATGTGCTTAATATGGTTTGGCTGAATTTCTGGCTTAATGCAACACTTAATGGAGCCAGTGATCATTAAATGTTCCCTAGGAAGAAACTAAGAGGCTTAATTGTGAGATTTCAGGGTAATGGTCATTCTAAGCATCAAATAGAGACTTCGGGACTTATGTAGGGGCTCAGAGATGACTTACTACATCCCTAATCTCCTCCAAGTTCTAGCACAGGCCTCTCCTCTTTCAATATGTCCTCACTGCTCTGATGGCTGCCCCATTTTCTTGTCCTTCTCAAGGAAGTACAGCCTGGACTGGCACTTCAGCCCTTATTTATATGTAGTTTTCAAGGTCATTTCTCTCAGCTTTATGCTCACAATGAAGGCTACTTGAAATCAGAGAGTTTTGTGAAGATGTTTTCTATCCTTCAGTCTACTTAACCTTCACAGGAACTCTTTGCTAGAATATCACAACTTCCTGGCTGAGGCTTGGCCTGTACACCACAGAGTGAGAATTTACCTGCAGGTTTTTCACACATCAAAATCTGTAGTTTGCCCTGCATATAATCATAAAAGTAAAATAATTTTAATTCAACTATCATGGGTGATTTATAATTCATACCTAGTCAATAAATATTTTGAAGATATATCATTCAATTCACATATTCATCTCATATAACTTCCCGGAGTATAAGGAAACAGTAGTAAGAGGTCTTTTTTATTGTCCTTTTTTTTTTTTTTCTTAGAGACCATTTGAAAGAAACATTTATATTTAAGAAAATGAAGCTTCAACAAAGAAATTAAATCATATTCTTTCTAAAAATCATCTGTATAATGGTAAGCCCTAAATAGCAAGGCAAGGTCAATAACATGTGAAGAAATGAAGGAACAGATTGATAATTATCATTTTTATTATCTTCTAGGAAAGAAAGAAAGGTTTGTCTGTAATTGCTTTGGTAGGCAGTCATAGTAAATGAACCTGAAAATGCAATATTCCTTCTCCAAAATTGTTAGTTGTCTCAATTTCCCCTTTGAAAGTATCAGCCAAGTCTCTTTTTAACTGTTTGAAAAAACAAAATCAAACTGACTTCTAGCTCAGATTGTAGGGAATACATGTTGACTCTTTGCTTTAAGTGCCATGGGGTTTGCCTAAAGAAGAGAATTCTTTTTCCAGCTAAATTCAGTATTCCTACTATATGACTGCCCTACAAGGAACATGTCACATGTCATTTCACTTATTTGTCACTTGATCAGACTCTTCTCAAGGTATCTTTTTGTTTCCACTGAGAACCACCAATGTCGAGTGTTATTTTCTTTACAAATGGGCTTTGGTTCCTGCTGCTCAACATGTTTCCACCTTTGTTGGTCAACACTTTCATCATGCATTCTTGTTGATGTCTTAGAGTCTCATCTGCAGTCCAAAAGCTTCCCAAACTGAGCTGTGGGCCGTGAAATAGGTGACCTACATTTTACTGCATAATAAACTGTGCACATTAATGGCTTACAGGATTTCACAAAAAAAAAAAAAATCTAAGTTTTTTCTTACACTTTCTCAAGGACCCTCGCAGTGCCATGTGAATACTTGGGTTGAAGCAAAGTTGAGTGACGGCAACAAGCAATTCTTTAAAATATCCTCTTCACAGAACTGGAAAAAATCACCTTAAACTTCATATGGGACCAAAAGAGAGTCACATAGCTAAGGCAATCCTAAGTAAAAAGAACAAAGCTGGAGGCATCATGCCACCTGACTTCAAACTATACTACAAGGCTACAGTAAACAAAATAGCATGGTAGTGTTACCAAAACAGAGATATAGATCAATGGAACAGAACAGAAGCCTTAGAGGCAATGCCACACATCTACAACCATCTGATCTTTGACAAACCTGACAAAAACAAGCAATGGGGAAAGGATTCCCTGTTTAATTAATGGTGTTGGGAAAACTGGCTAGCCATGTGCAGAAGGCAGAAACTGGACCCCTTTCTGACACCTTACAATAAAATTAAATTCCAGATGGATTAAAGACTTAACATAAGACCTAAAACCATAAAAATCCTAGAAGAAAACCTAGGCAAAACCATTCAGGACATAGGTATAGGCAAGGACTTCATGAATAAAACACTAAAAGCATTGGCAACAAAAGCCAAAATAGACAAATAGGATCTAATTAAACTCCAAAGCTTCTGTACAGCAAAAGAAATAATCATTAGAATGAACTGGCAACCAACAAAATGGGAAAAAATTTTGCAATCTACCCATCTGACAAAGGACTAATATACAGAATCTACAAAGAACTAAAACAGATTTACAGGAAAAAAACTAACAACCCCATTCAAAAACACAACCACCTTGGTGTTGGCCTCATATATGTCTCCTTTTGAAAAGTGTGTGTTCATATCCGGTGATTGATATGAACATACACTTTTCAAAAGGAGACATATATGAGGCCAACAAATATATGAAAAAATGCTCATCATCACTGGTCATTAGAGAAATGCCAGTCAAAACCACTTTGAGATACCATCTCACGCCAGTTAGAATGGTGATCATTAGAAAATCTGGAGACAACAGATGCTGGAAAGGATGTGGAGAAATAGGAACACTTTTACACTGTTGGTGGGAGTGTAAATTAGCTCAACCATTGTGGAAGACAGTGTGGTGATTCCTCAAGTACCTAGAAATAGAAATTTCATTTGATCCAGCAATCCCATTACTGGGTATATACCCAAAGGATTACAATCATTCTATTACAAAGACACATGCACACGTACGTTCATTGTGGCACTGTTTACAATAGCAAAGACTTGGAACCAACCCAAATGCCCAAAGATGATAGACTGGACAAGGATAATGTGGTACATATACACCATGGAATATTATGCAGCCATAAAAAAGGATGAGTTTGTGTCCTTTGTATGGACATGGATGAATCTGGAAGCCATCATTCTCATTAAACTGACACAAGAACAGAAAATGAAACACTGCACATTCTCACTCAGCGGCGAGTGTTGAACAATGAGAACATATGGACACAGGGAGGGGAGCATCACACACTGGGGTCTGTTGGAGTGGAGAATAGGGGAGAGGCAGCGGGGGCTAGGGAGGTTGCGGAGGTATAACATGGGGAGAAATGCCAGATATAGGTGACGGGGGGATGGAGGCAGCAAATCACATTGCCACATATGTACCTATGCAACAATCCTGCATAATCTGCACATGTACCCCAAAACCTAAAGTACAATAAATATATATATGTATTAAAAAAAAAAACAGCTAAAGCTTACTCCTGCGCCAAGTGTTGTGAGTGACTCTCTATTCCATAGAGTATGTTTTCTCCTAGTAATCTCACACCCTTTTCCTCTCAGCCATTCATGAGTCCTATGGGTCTGCCTCCCAGCTGTAATGAACTCGCGAAATTTAAAAGGTGAACAGCAATTTTAAATTCACGGAACTCATCCACCCACCAATGGTAAACCCCTTTTACAACATCCCTACCAAGAAGTCACATTCGGTTTCTGATGAAGACATACAGTGATGTTTACAAGACAGAATTTTCATTTTGAGCACAAGGTGTGTCTTCTAACTTCTGTATACTTTTCCTTCCTGCAAGTTCATATAAAAGATGCAGTGGAAGTTTTTTTTTTTTTTATCTTCTCATTTGAACTCTAATTAGTGCTGCACAACCCAAATTATGTCTCAAAAAAAAAATCAACACATAGAGAAAAAAATCACCCTTATTTATTTCCCCTTAATAATGGATTTTTTTCATAGCAAACAATCAATGAAATGAAAGACAAGCTATAAAATGGGAGAATATATATACAAACCATATATCTGATAAAGGATTTATATCTAACATGTTTTAAAAACTCACATAAGTCATGAGGAAAAAAACAAATAACTCAATTAAAAATGAACAAAGAACTTGAACACACATTTTTCCAAAGAATACATACAAATGATCAACAGATATATGAAAAGGTGCTCAACATCACTAGTCAGCAGAGATATGTGAATCAAAACCACAATATCATCTCAAAACTGTTAGGATGGCTATCATGAAAAAGACAAGAGGCAACAAGGATTGGTAAGGATGTAGAGAAAAAGGATCAATGCCTTGTCTATTGTTGGTGGGGAGAATTGGTACAGCCATTATGAGAACCAGTATGGCTGCTCCTCAAAAAATTGAAAATAGAACTACCATGTGGCCCAGCAATCTCACTTCTGGGTATACATCCAAAGAAAATGAAATCACTGTCTGGAAGAAATTGCTACACCCACATGTTCACTGTAATATTATTCACAATTACCAAGATAAGGAAATGACCCACTGTTCACTGATGGATGAATTAGTCATGAAAGTATGGTTCTATTTTATACGCACACACATACAATAAAGTACTATTCAGCTTTTAAAAAGAATAAAATTCTGTCATTTGTAACAATATGGATGACCTTGGAGGACATTATGCTGAGTGAAATAAGCCAGACACAGAAAGACAAATACTTTGTGATCTCACTTACATGTGAAATCTAAAGAAGTTGAAGAGAAATAGAGAGTAGAATGGTGATTATTCTGGCCCAGAGGGCTGGTGAGAAATAATAAATTTTTTAAGAACTCATTCTGTACAAGTGTGCATCACACATTGAAATGTTAATCATAGTGAAATACTATTCTCTTATACTGTTATTTTGATATTAATTTGCTTGTTTGAGTATTTTATTTTGCTTATTATGGATTAAAAAGAAAAGTTCAGGTATTTCAAGATGATACGCAAGATTTAATGAGAAGGATGAAGAGAGCCAATGTGCATTTGATGCTAATTATTTGCCCCACACAAAACTCAGCTTTTTGAATAGAATATGTACTCAACAGAATTTAAAAAATCCTGATGCTTTTACCAAGAAGTGACCGGCAGTCAGTCCAAATCTGGTAGCTAGTCCTGTAACTGAGAGAGACAGCAACTTTTAATTAAAGACTGAGGGGGAAAAAAATCAAAGTTAATTCAGTAGAATATTTCACAAATTTAAATATTAAATATGAAAATCAATGTATTCCATTTGGTATGAGATTTTGAACCATGTATTAAAAACACTTTAAAAGAAATAAAAAAGATTCAAACCCTTGAAGTCTGTAATTCTACTTCTGGAAATATATTCTAGGAATGTAATCTAAAATAAAGAAATGGGCTAGACAGAAAATATTCAGTGCAATACATGTTTAATGAAGAAAATTTGGAATTAATCAGATAGTCAACAATGGGAGGAAATGTTTAGTAAAGTTTGATATTCGGTGTTCGGTATTTAAGGTAAATGTGCAAAAAGGCTATTTACAATGAGGAATACTAGTATAAAAATATGTAAAGAGAATAAAACAGGATGAAACATAGACAGTATTTTCTCAAATAACTTAAATAAATACTTATAAAGATAATAAAGGCTAAAAGAAAATAAACAGTCATGCCAATAGAGAGTTCTGTGAATAAGGGCAGTAGTTTTGTAATTATTTTACCTCTTTTTTAATGAAAGAAAATAATTTTTAAAAGGGCATACTCTACACAAAGAAAGGCTGACTCCCCCAGAAACAGAATATCACCTTACATCCAAAGTAGCCATGCAGATTACAGTGGTGTTTTTACTAGGTTTATGAAATATGAATGCTGACCTTGTCTCCTTGCCTTGTACTGACAGTGAATGGTGTTTACTGGATGCCAATTACTTTTTCTCTCACTATTAATTCTTCTCTGAATTTTATCGCTAACAACCATGCTGCAAATCTGAAATTGTTTGAATGTATCAGTCTCCTTAACATTTTCTTCTTTTCTTTCAGAGTAATTCTGAATATATTAATTTTATCAATTGCATGCATAATGCTAATGCCAACATTTTGTGCAGGAGGGCATCTTGTCAGAGAGACCATATCCGAGTTCATATTTTAAACAGTTGTCAGCTTCTTTATGAATGTCAATAAATGTAAATTCTAATAAAAACAAAAATAAAATCTTATTAATTGTCCTCTGGAGCCTTCAAAATAAGTACTACATTCTTTTGGCAAGAACTCACTCAGAATGTTTGTCTTCTAACATTCCTCTGAAGAGAAAGTGAAGACACCAGCATTTTGCATCTTTGTGTGTGTGTGTGTGCGCACGTGCTAAAACACTGGAACACACAAAAGTAGACACAGTCAGAGAGGAATGGGCATAGATGGATTTATCAGGAATTTGACGAGGCTTACCCTTTGGGCTCCCACTTTCTTGGGGCTTCTGCTAAGAATCTTTAACTGTTTAGATTTGTAACTTTGTAAAGAAAACCCTTTAAGTTGAGGAAGAAGGATATTCCACAAAGTCTATAATGTCTGCTAGGCATGACCAACTTTCCTAGATTATTCTGTGAAAACAGCACTAGGAGGAAACACAGAAATCTATTAGGTTTGATTCTGAGATGTGAGACCTGGTTGGATAAATGTAAGGGAGATGACGAGAGAGAAGAGCAAAAGAGAAATGCATGGGAAAGGGATGTACAAAAAAAAACAAACAGTAGAATAAAGCTCTTTGCTGAACTGTGTGATCTGAAATTCAAATCAAATTTTGGTCTTTTACCAACAAATATCCGAGAATGTATAACTTATTATAATGCCAGAAGGGTCAACTTTAAAACCATAAGAGGGATAGCCTTGGTACTACAATTGTTCAAAGCTATGATTAAGAAAGAGTGGGGATCGGCCAGGCACTGTGGCTCACACCTGTAATCCCAGCACTTTGGGAGGCTGAGGCAGTCAGATCACAAGGTCAGGGGTTTGAAACCAGCCTGGCATGATGAAACCCTGTCTCTACTAAAAACACAAAAATTATTCAGGACTGGTGGTGCGTGCCCATAATTCCAGCTACTCTGGAGGCTGAGACAGGAGAATTGCTTGAACCCGGGAGACGGAGTTTGCAGTGAGTGAAGATCGCGCCACAGAACTCCAACCTGGTGACAGAGCAAGACTCTTGTCTCAAAAAAAAAAAAAAAAAAAAAGAGCAGGATCAGCCTATCTTTGTATTTGATATGCACGTGATAGCCGAATTCTTAGTTGCCAAGGTCTCAGAGGCCTATGTTATTTTGATCATGTAATTAAACTGTTCATACAATTTCTGTCTCAGAAAATGGTGGAAGAAACTTGTAGTTTGAGTTTGGTAGCAAATCACCACATAGACACTGATAATTAACAAAGGGCCTTAGCAAACTAGTTTAATTCTTTCATTTACAGATGAAAAATGGGGTTTAGAAGGGAGAATGAGAATGTCTGGGTGTGATGGATTTAGTGGCAAAGCAGGCATATTAATTTTTTTCTTATAATACATCTTTGCATATTAGATGATACATCTATTAAAAATCATATTTTCTGGAATATATATTATGGAATAAATAAGTTTTTTAATGTTAATGTCTGATTCTCACACAAATCCATACGAACACACACACATGCATGCACTTACACATACACACAGAACATCATAAGCTATAGTGGAAAAAAGGTACATTTATCACACATCCTATTATTTCAAAATCTCATAATAAAATTTTTCCAAGAGGAGATGGTATTTGCGTTTTCTTAATTATATGTGTCTTTGCTTTTATCTTTACTAATTGAGACTTTTGTGGAGGAAAGGTAGAAGTCAACGGAAGGTAACGAGCTAATTGTCTTCTCTGTTTAGAAATACTGAACTTCAGTAATGGGATTGCTAGGTCAAATGATTTATCTGGTTCTAGGTCCTTGAGGAATTTCCACACCATCTTCCACAATGGTTGAACTAATTTACACTCCCATCAACATTGTAAAAGCATTCCTATTCATCTGCAACTTTGCCAGCATCTGTTGTTTCTTGACTTTTTAATAATTGCCATTCTGACTGGCATGAGATGGTATCTCATGGTATTTTTGATTTGCATTTCTCTAATAATAAGTGCTGTTGAGCTTTTTATCACGTTTGTTGGCTTCATGAACATCTTTTGAGAAGTTTCTCTTCAAGTCCTTTGCCCATTTTTTAATGTGATTGTTTCATTCTTGTAAATTTTTTTGAGTTCCTTGTAGATTCTGCATATTAGATATTTGTTAGATGGATAGACTGCAAAAATTTTCTCCCAATCTGTATGTTGCCTGTTTCCTCTGATGGCAGTTTTGTTTGTTTGTTTGTTTGTTTGTTCTGTGCAGAAGTTACTTAGTTTAATTAGATCCCATCTGTCAATTTTTGCTTTGGTTGCAACTACTTTTGGCAACTTCATTATGAAATCCTTGTCCTTGCCTATGTCGTGAATGGTATTTCCTAGATTTTTATCCTAAGCATATACTCAGAAGAATATAAATTATTCTGTTACAAAGATACATGGACATGTATGTTCATTGCAGCACTATTCACAATAGCAAAGACATGAAATTAACCCAAATGCCCATCAATGATAGTCTGGATAAAGAAAATGTGGTACATATACACCAAGGAATACTATGCAGCCATAAAAGGAACGAGATCTTGTCCTTTGCAGGGACATGGATGGAGCTGAAAGTCATTATCCTCAACAAATTAACACAGAAACAGAAAACCAAACATCACATGTCCTCAGTTATAAGTAGGAGCTGAACATGAGAACACATGGGCACAGGAAGAGGAACAACACACACTGAGGCCTGTTGGGGGTTGGGTTGGGGGAGGGAGAGCATTAGGAAAAATAACTAATGTATGTTGGGCTTAACACCTAAGTCATAGGTTGATAGATGCAGTAAACCACCATGGCACATGCACAAACCTATGTAACAAACCTGCACATCCTGCACATGTACCTTGGAACTTAAAAATTAAATTAAAAAAGACAAACTGAACGTCAAGTGTTTGATATTCTCCTCACACAGGCACCTGGACTGCACTTGTTCCAGAGAGCACTGAAGTCACAGCAATCCAATGCCTCAGCAGTGACACCCAACTAATCCATCCATGCTTATTAGTAAGAAAGAAGTTACTATTGTTTGAAATAATACAAAGCTCAATTTAGTTTTACATGGATTCTGGGATTAACTTTACAGGGACCCTGGGCCAACTGTGTCTGTAAAACAGTGAAGTGGACTTTGGTGCCTAACATTAGAGAGATCACTTACCTTTGTGATAAATTGCTAAGGACACTTTCCTCAAACAAATGTTCTTCTGCAAATATTCATCAACATTAGCAAGTAATTGTAGAGCTTTATTGGACTAAGTCAAAAGACCAAGGTTTGCTACTGATTTCTGTCCAATAAGATGCAATGTGAACTTAGACATTCAACTTTCCTTTCTGAGCCTCAGTTTCTCTACTTGCAAACCCTGTTATGATTGGGTTTCATAATACCTAACATTAATTTTAGCTCCAAGATGCTGTCAGTTTGTGTTAGGTTTCTATCCAATATCTTCTGAATAAATAAATTTATATAACCATTTTCAGCCTAGGGGGAAATTCAAGATTAACATATTTCAGAGGTTCACAATGACATTAGAAATTATGTTGATGATCTAAAAAAAAAAAAAAATCACCACTGAGTGTTACTTAATTTTCATTTAAATGAAAGAAAGAATTATCCTGACAAGACAGGGAACATTTCTGAGATAGTTAGCTTAGTTCACTTTGGTTCTGCATGAGATTGAAACTGTTTAGCAGAAAATTAAATTAAGGTTTGCCAAGAAATTAAGATAAAATGTGAGGATCGCCATATAATGCTATTTGTCATTCTGGAAAGAATGGATGATCCATGTCAACCTTCAAACTCAGCTCCATGAGCAATTGGAAATTATCAAGAGTCTTAGAAGTGATGGACAAATAGAGTTTGATATGGGTAAATGCCAATTGATTCAAAGAGTGAAAGGACAACTGACTGTGGCAGATAGATTCACTGTCCATGAAGATCAAATTATTGAAATACAGTGTTCAAAAAATTCTAGAGAGTCTAGACCTCGCTGTTGTAACAAGAGATTAATCTTAGGGCAATCAGAGTAAAGTTGAAGAAAATACTCATGAATGATTCCAGTTCCTCCTGTTATTCCAAAGATTTTAAATTCCTTTTGTTTTTTCTAACCAAAGAAAATAGAGCACAGATTGGCATCTGACGAAATTTAAGGACAAGAGGAAGGGTCTCATAAGTTTGCAGACATTTGTCCACTTATTTACATGCCAGAGGGCAGATAAACAAAAGCTGATTCAGGGTCTTGCCTGGAGTTGATCACTGTCCAATCCCATTAAATGGCAGCAAATATCAATATCATTGAGCTACTCAGTGGTTTATATGCAGTCTGAAATAAATTTGCATATGACTAATTGGCAGGAAATTAGACACTAACTAATTGAATAGCAGAGATTATGAAGGGAAAAAATGTACCCTTAGATACTTCAGAGAACAACTTTAAGTTTCTGCAAAGTTAAGACAGCTAAAAAAGGTCTGCAATATACTTACTTTTATTCTCTCATTCAACAAGTATTTTTTGAGGACCTATTATGTCTCAGGCACTGCTCTAGGTGCTTGAAATACACTAGTGGTAAAAAGACCAAATCTATGCCTTTGTGGTATTTACATTCTAGTGGAGAAAATCAATAATAAGCCATATCCATGCTAAATAAATACATTATCTAGAGTGTGAGAAAGTGATACATCTTTATAATATATATTTTTAATGGGAACAGCATAAGCAGAATCAGGAACACAAAGTCAGACGGCAGGCAGTTTACTCCATTAGATGGCTCAGGGTAGGGATCACTGAGAGTGTAAAATATGGACAAAGACTTGAAAAGGGTGAGGTAGTTAGTAAAGCTGATATCTGGAAATAGGACAACTTAACCAGTGCAAAATTCTACAGCCAACATCCTACAGCTGGAATGTGATGGTATGATGGGTGCAGAGAAGAGAGAGGAGATCAGAGGAAGACCACTGTAAACGTTTCAACTGTTTCTGAGTCAGGTAGTGAGGTGAGCTTTCAGAATTGGAGTGACATAACGGGACACATTTTGATCATGCTGCCGTATTGGCTGCCATATTGAAAACAGACTCTAGATGAACTAAGTTTGAAGCAGGAAATCCCATTAAATATTTAGTTTCTGTTATTTATTTTAAATAATCCAGACAAGAGATGACAATGGTTTGGATCAGTGTGTTAGCAGTAGCAATAATGAGAAAGAGGCAGATTCTTGAAATGAGAGAGGCAGCTGGTGAAGCAGGTTTTGAGGGAAGAATAGGAATCAAGTACTGGAAATATCATCTTAAATATCTGTTAGACAGCCAAATAGGGATATAAGGTAAAGATTTGCAAATATAAGTCCAATGTTTGGAAAACAGGTCTGAGCTGAAGCTATAATTTTGGATGTTGTTGAAATGTAGGTGATACTTAGAGTCATGAACATGGAAGAAATTCACTAAAGTCGTGGGTAGAAAGCAAGAGACAAGAGCACCAAAGAAGAGATGCTCCTGTGTTAAGAGCTTGGAGAGAAGTAAGAAGGGGTGGTCAGTAAGGTAGGAGAAATGTTGAGTATATATGACACTATG